TGTTCAATCTAGCATTTTTTGGGGGGTTTCTTAAATGTTCTGAATTAACAGTTACATCCAAATTTAACCCTCTACTCCACCCCACCATCTCAGATCTAGCTTTGCAAGACAGGGAAACTATCTCTTTCCTTATCAAACAAAGCAAAACAGATTAATTCCAGAGAGGACACTCTATCCTCATTTTCAATATTCCTTCACCTACACGCCCATTCCAAACCCTCTTAGCCTAGAAAATCTCAAGAGGCTAACCCACTGGCCCCGCTTTTTACTGATGACGCTAACCGTCCAGTATCTCGATTCTGGTTTCAAAAACACCTTAAAGAAATCTTTCGCCTATCAGGTTTTTTCCCAGAGCCCTTTTCCAGCCACTCATTCAGGATTGGCGCAGCCACTACAACGGGCTCTCACACCATCAGATCCAGACCCTTGGTCGCTGGTCTTCTGAAGTTTTCAAATCTTATATACGTCTCAGTAAATACCACCTCAAGAAAGCCCAACAGGCTTTAACCAACCCCCAAGCACCTCCTCACACGGCTCCAACTCAAAAAGGTGTCTAACAGAGCCTCGACTCTCGCAAGAGTCATCCAAACCAAACCCCGCAGAAGCCCAATTGTCCACCCATGGCACCCTTACATGTTTGCCAAGGACTCCCTCAAGGGCCATTGCAGTTAGCATCTTCTGCAATCACCAATAGCTATTTACAGATGCAGACGTTTGTATCCACATGTTCTTTGCGCATTTACTGCGTTTGTACATATGTATTATATTTGTGCTTGTTCCCTTCTTCCAACTTTTCCAAATCTTTTATCCTTATAACCCTACTTTTCAGCCTCTCGTTCCTTTCTTCTCTACACTCCACTCCCAACTAATCTATTTTACACTCTACCTCTAATGATCTTGTTTCTACTGTCTAGACTCTTCAGACACCCGAAGGGGCCCCCTTGAGCTCCAACTCTCGCAGGATTCGGCCATAGCGGCCACAGTCCTTTCTTCTTCACGATGTTACCTATTCTTTTTCCGCCTAGACTCTTTCTCCAAGCTCCAAACCCCGCAGGGGTCCGCTCAAGCTAAAACTTCTTCACTCTACTTCAACTACCTCTCTTCTCCTTATGACTCACCCTCTAGCTCTGACCCCCACAGGGGTCGCTCCGAGCCCCAATCTCTCGCAAGAGTTATCCAAATCCTCTTTCCCACTCACTGATATCTATCTCCTCCTATCCGCAATCTACCCTCAAGCTCTGACCTCCACAAAGGTCGCTCAGAGCTCCAACTCTCACAAGAGTTACTCTCTTCCACTCACTGCTACCTATCTCCCCCTATCTACACTCTACCCCCAAGCTCTGACCTCCACAGAGGTCGCTTCAAGCTCCAACTCTCACAAGAGTTACTCTCTTCCACTCATTGCTCCTCCCAGCTACACTCTACCCTCAAGCTCAAACCTCCGCAGAGGTCACTCCTATCTACACCCTACCCTCAAGCTCAAACCTCCGCAGAGGTCACTCCTATCTACACCCTACCTTCAAGCTCAAACCTCCGCAGAGGTCGCTCCTAGCTACACTCTACCCTCAAGCTCAAACCTCCGCAGAGGTCACTCCTATCTACACTCTACCCTCAAGCTCAAACCTCCGCAGAGGTCACTCCTATCTACACCCTACCCTCAAGCTCAAAACTCCGCAGAGGTCACTCCTATCTACACCCTACCTTCAAGCTCAAACCTCCGCAGAGGTCGCTCCTATCTACTCTCTACCCTCAAGCTCTAACCTCCGCAGAGGTCACTCCTATCTACACCCTATCCTCAAGCTCAAACCTCCGCAGAGGTCACTCCTATCTACACCCTACTTTCAAGCTCAAACCTCCGCAGAGGTCGCTCCTATCTACTCCCTACCCTCAAGCTCTAACCTCCGCAGAGGTCACTCCTATCTACACCCTATCCTCAAGCTCAAACCTCCGCAGAGGTCGCTCCTATCTACACCCTACCTTCAAGCTCAAACCTCCGCAGAGGTCGCTCCTATCTACACCCTACCTTCAAGCTCAAAACCTCCGCAGAGGTCGCTCCTATCTACACCCTACCTTCAAGCTCAAACCTCCGCAGAGGTCGCTCCTATCTACTCCCTACCCTCAAGCTCTAACCTCCGCAGAGGTCACTCCTATCTACACCCTACCCTCAAGCTCTAACCTCCGCAGAGGCTGCTCTAAACTCAAACTCTCACAAAGCTCCATCTTTCGTAAGAGCTACTCTCCTCCACTCTCTGCTCCATACCTTCACTCTACTCTGGCCCCCGCAGGGGTCACTTAGAGCTCCAACTCCCACAAGATTCACTCAAAGTTCTCTTTCACTGCTTCAAACCACCTATTCTCCCCTTCTTCTTAACCCCGAAAACCATGACCCCCGCAGGGGTTCCTTCAAACTCTAACTCCAGCAAGAGTTATTAGAATCCTCTTTTCACCCTTATTAATCCTATCTAATTAATGCCCATGCATTTAACCTCTTTTCTTCTATTATATCCAGCAGCCGGATATAGCTCTAAATTTCCTGCCTTTTGGGGGGTTTTTTCTTCGAATACGCGGCTGCTGTCCCGAGCGATTAATTCTGCATTTTGGGGAGTTCTGAGATCCACCGAGCTCAGGCTCCCTTCTTGCTCTGCCAACGGGAGGAAGCCCCGGGCTCGAGGAGCCCTTGAGCTCGGGGCTCTCTCCCGGGACAGCATGCCAAATAAGCTTTGTAAATCATCAGCTAAGTGTGAACTCTTGAAGTGAAGTTTATTCATAAACTAATTTCGAGAGGATCACGTGCTTATGATTTATCACGTCCAGTCTCGCTTTTGCTAATCACTAATCTTCCAATCATATGAGCCCTAAGGCACCATAAATAGTCTAAGTTTCCAGTTCACTTTATCTTCGTTTGGAAGAAACCCCCCTCCTCCCCTATTCTCCTCCTTTACCTGTAATTGGGCGGCACGGCGGTCCAGTGGTTAGCACTGTGAACCACACAGCAAGAATACTGCCGGTCCTAGTTCGATAGGACCGGTGAGTGTTTCTGTGGGGAGTTTGTATGTCCTTCCCGTGTCCGCGTGGGTTTTCCCCGGGCTCTCCGGTTTCCTCCCACCATCCAAAGACATTCAACATACTTAACAATCAAGCTGGTCTAATTCCTTACGTTCCCTTAGCTACAGCGGCAGGGGAGTTCTGAGATCCACCGAGCTCAGGCTCCCTTCTTGCTCTGCCAACGGGAGGAAGCCCCGGGCTCGAGGAGCCCTTGAGCTCGGGGCTCTCTCCCGGGACAGCATGCCAAATAAGCTTTGTAAATCATCAGCTAAGTGTGAACTCTTGAATTGTTTGCCAGTTTTAAGTGAGCCTTTTAGGTAGGCAGTTAGGTTGGAAGGAAGAAAGGATGAAAGAAGGAAGGAAGGCTGGAAGGAAGGAAGGAAGGAAGAAAGGATCATTACGAATTAGTTTGAACTTTTTTTGTTCATAGTTTATGAAGAATATTGGTGTGAAAACTGTTTAGATTCCCACTGATTTCCATTGTATGGACAAAAAAAAGGGAAATAAAACTTTGTTCGCCAACTTCCCTAACTATGACAAATAAAATTTGGCGGACTATCAATTTAACTTATAAGCAAAGGCACATGGGTCAGATCTCATTATTAAAATAATTTAAAATCCACATGCATATACTATATATATATATATATATATATATATATATATATATATATATATATATATATATATATATATATATATATATATATATATGCAAATGGATTGCATTTTAATGAGTATAGAATCACCGACACAGTAAGCCCTTTTACCCAGTTTATTTGGCTCATGTAATGAAAAATGTAACCACATTAAACTAAAATTCAACATATGATTATGATGCATAAATCAGTAAGGTGGCAACTGATTTTGTGGGGAATAGACAACTATTATGTGACCTCAAAAAGTATTTGAACATGTAAACATGATTTTTATACAAAATAATAATTGTAAAAAAAAAAAAATTAATGACTAAATATATATAGTTGAAGTCAGAATTATTAGCCCCTTTCGATTTTTTTTCTTCTTTTTTAAATGTTTTCCAAATGATGTTAAACATTTTCACAGTATGTCTCATAATATCATTTCTTCTGGAGAAAGTCTTATTTGTTTTATTTCGGCTAGAATAAAAGCAGTTTTGAATTTTTTATGAACCATTTTAGGGAAAAAATTATTAGCCCCTTTAAGCTAGATTTTTTCTCGATAATCTACAGAACAAACCACTGTTATACAATAAGCTTATTTATATATATATATATATATATATATATATATATATATATATATATATATATATATATATAGTAATAACTTCACATAATGCATAAATGTTAAATTTATTTACTACATACTGGATCTGTTACAAAGATTTTTTTCACACATATTTTGTTTCATTTTTACAATCATTATTTAAAGCACTGATTGCTTGCTTTTATCATGCTTTCTTAAACTTTTTTCCAATAAGATGCATGATTAAAATGTTGTTGACCCAGATCACAAAATAAAACTAATAGTTATGCCAGTATGGAACTGTTGAACAGATGCCACTTAGCTTAATATTTTATATCTGAAGCATTCATATTCTATCGCAATCTATAAACACATCTCTAATGATGCCCAAAAGTGTTCAAATACTTTTTGGGCAGTTTTAAATGTTGACAGACTATTGCATTGGGCTCAAACCACACTGTATGAATGTCATTTATGCTAAAAGAGGTATATTAAAAGTACAATTACAAGAGCACATTTGTTGAGAATAAACTGAAAATAAATAAAAAAAACTACTAGAAATGACCCAGAAGTTTAGCAGTAGCAATAATTTCCAAATGATCTCTAAACACCAATATGAATGATGAGGCCGATAACTGATCACATTCTATTAGACAGAAGGGAACTGATCCCTGGATAAAGTGTGCAGCTTCTGTTGCAGGGACAGGGACAGATGAACAGATACAACCTGACGTTACGATTTGGTATTTAATGCAAAAATCATCTGCATGCATACATAAACATTAGGACCCGATGCAGTTTGCTTTAGACCAAGACATGAACAGATAGATACAACATGAAAGAACATTTTACAGCACAAACAAATACAGACGCACATAAATACATAGAGAACATACAGTAGCTTCTTTTTAAAGACTCTCTCTCTCTCTACAGGAAATGTCATATACACTTTCAGACATGAAGAGTTCAATAGATATCAACAGTTTTTTTTGTTTTTGTTTTGTTTTACAGAAACAGATGCATGACTACAAGATGAGTATTTTTTCATTAATTATTGCAGTCTAACAATATGGCTTTGACTAGTGGAAAAAACCTTTCAGCACTACAAAAATGAAAAAGTCCATTTTAAATTCGTAATCGGATAATAAAAAAGGTGTACTTTTGTACAGCTAAAATGAAAAGAGTAGCATGTGCTAATCTAAAGTATGTCATTCTGCTCTTACTAAGATTTTTATTTTTGAAACAAAGTTTACAATCTTGCTGTGATCACAGAACAACCAGCCTATAACGGGTACATATACATTCCTGTAGTTATATCAATTGCTAACAGTTTAAAAAGGGACACTTTTTTTGTCAAACATACAACTGCTAACTTTGTGTAATCAACAAAATGAAAGCTTATCTACAGGTTTCATATTTCCCCAATCATGCAATACTTTACAAAAATGAGTTTGCCTCTTCATCTACTCATAAACATATGTAAACATTGAACCCCTCCCTCCCAAATATATGTTTCTGACATGTTTATCAAATGGCAGTGTTTACTCAATGCTCAAAAACGTACTGTAAGACCTTAAAAATGTAAATAATAATAATAAAAAAGCCTTAAGTCAACTCAACATCAGATTTTGCCAGCAGCACGATTAATATTTTGGGCAGAAATTTCACAGCGGGAAGGACTTTTGTTGATCAGATGTAGTAGGAATATTAATAGTTTCTCACAATTTCATCATCATGTCTGTAGTAGTGTGGAGGATTGCAGCTCATTCTCTCTTTGGTCTTTTTTTCTATAGCAGTGATTGAAGCTCATGTATTCTAGTATTCATTTGTTATTTGTATAATTAGTTATCATCATCGAAAGCATTGCCTTCTTTTTTGGGAAGTAATACTGAATTCAGTATCTTACACACAGGCAGTTTTTTTTAATGTAAAGACATGCTAAAAGACCACGTAAACTGATCTCTTGGAAAACAACTATTTTAGATTTTGAATAAAAGCTAATTTGTATAATCTCATTTGTATTAATTATTATTTTTACAAACTAGCATGAAAATCCTCCCAAACCCCACCTGTAAAAATAACTTTTAATATCAGCTGCTGTTTAAACAATGCATTTTTAATTAAAAAAATTAAAATTCTGCTTGTTTTTAATGCGTTTCAGAAAAAATTTACACAATATTGACTTAAACGCATGATACATGACTATTCACGCTCATTGTGCTTTCACATATTTTGCCGACATCCATACTTTATCGGTTGCCTAATTGTTGCATGAGAGGGTTAATGAATCAAGAAACAAAACACAGTAGTCCAAAAGACCAGTAAGTAAGTGGCTGCATCCAAAATCGCATTAAGTCATGGTGTATCAGTGACGTATAGAATACTGTTTCCGGGTCCAAGCCGCTACTCATTTGAATTGAGAAAATATTCATTTATGACCTATTTTTAGTTATATCACACATTAAAATGAATGTCTCTAGACTTGCTGCATCACAAATACCAAAATTGTAACAATTTATACAAAAAAATTATCACTTTCTGGCTATCTGATATTAAGCATGGGTATATACATTGTGCTCATGATTTTCGAAAGTATTACCCCGCTTTGTAAATGTTTATTATTAACATTTGTTGAGTCTCCCCTTGCAGTTTCATATAGTTCTTAGACCCAGAAGCCGCATCGCATGACGTCACACTTCAGAAGCGGATATTATGCTCAAAACACTATGCGAGCTGAGTAGTATGTCAAAATTAGTAGAACAGTATTCGAGTACTCGAATGACCTAATTTTTCCGGCGAGATTCTGAAGTGTGCATCTCATGATATCCCATGATGTACCACAAGAGAATTCATAAATGGGAGTGAAAGAACGCAACTGACATGGATAGGTCACGTGATCAAGACAAAATGGCGGGTGTAGTACACTATGTCCGAGTTCTGTTCATACTGCTCACATTCATATTCACATTCACTGTATATAACATGTTTTTCCAACTACAGAGTAGTAAATTGAGTATGAGCCAGTGAGTATAGTCGCACTTCCATTATCAAAAGTTTGGAGTGTGTCCTCACTGCAGCCTGTAGCACAGTGACATACTGGATCAGGTTCTATATGTAGAGCATGTGCATGCACAAGTTGTTGTAGCTACACATGAAAATTATTTCTGTTAATTATTAAATTACCCATTACATTGTGTGTTATAAATGTCTATGTCTACCCCAATCCTCACAGTTATTAACAGCTACACCAACCCCAACCTTAAACTCAGCCATAGCAGTAACATGGGCATTACCATAGTGGGTGTTACAATGTCCTTTATGTATTTTACCTGAACCAGTTCATCATCGTACTACAGACAGTAGCGAGGACATCTTGAAAGTTGAAATCTTGAATGTTTTTGTGAGTCTATTCTGAAGCGGAACACCAGCATTTACCAAGCTAAAACTAAGCCTTTATTGACTTTCTTCAATTCGAAAGAGTTTTGGTTTTACGATTATTTTAGAACTTCCAAATCCGATTTGTCTATGGGAGAAATGATGGCAGAAAACGGTCAAACTACTTGCTCTACAAACAAGTGTGTTCATGACTGTACATAAAAAGTGGAATAATGTAATAAGACAAAAGCAGTTTGCAACATCAAGCAGCAAAACGAGTCATTTTTATTGTCTAAAAATCAATGGAAGTGAACGAGACCGGAAGTCTCAGGCCAAAAAATATTCCAGTGTCAAGGTCAATAGTTTGCAAAACACTTCTTTTTAGTGGAAAGTTGTGTGAATGTCTGCCATGACCGTAACATAACTTATCTGTTTTAAAGTGAAAAAGCATTAGCGTAAACAGCACCTGAGGCATGAGCTTGGGAGATAATCTTGTGTTGTGGGACATCATATACAGTATTTAGTGAACAATGCTTTGCTTTTAATAGAAGTATGTATGAATAACTTTTTTTTCTGGATGAGATCAGTTCATTTCTGATTGTCATGTGAATGGTCTTGTATCAAATCATCTGCTTGTTTTGTTTTGGCAGTGATGAATGTGCTGTGAAACCGTGACTGAATATATAGTAAATGTCTAAAGGTTCATCTGCTGTGTGCTTGACAGATTGTGATTAGTCCTGAATGGTTGTTCGTTGTAAGGATAATTTGGTCCAGTTTTCCTGATCTTTTGCTGGCAAGGCTAATGTAAATATTACTTGTGGTCAAATCAAGTTCTATTTCACACCTCAAGAAAAATTGAAATAAATAAATAATAATACAAAACTGAGAACTGCCAGGCTGCAAAACCATTTGAGCACTCAGGTGGTCTAACGTGGCACAACTAGGGGTACTTCTACATGACAACAATCTACTGAACACGTTCTTTTTTGCATTTCTGAAAAAAATGTTATACTGACAAAACAATCCCCATTCGCACGGATCCACGGAAGCAACTGAAAACACTGTATTATGCATGCCAGGCCTGTAGGTGGCAATGTCATGTTGCAAACAAACACTATATGCATGTGTACATATGCAGAAAGAATACAGAATATATGTTCATGTTTCAAAATTTCTCCCAAAGGATATTTTACAATTTTAAACAAAACTTTTTTTTATAATTTTACACTAAAAACAGAAAACTTTCGGGTACCATAAAGTTTTAACAAAGTTTGATAAGAATAACATTGTTTTCAGTGTGCAAATCATAGATTCTGTGCAATATAGTGACATCATGCACATGTATTATGGTTCATTTATAGTCATGCACGAGTACTTGACTACCAAAACAACAATGTTACAGGACCATATAGCTCAAACACATAGTATTCTTCTTGTCTGGCATGCATATTACAGTAGTTTTCAGTCGTTTTTGTGGATCTATGTGGATGGGTATTGTTTTGATAGCATATAACAGTGAAACTTTTCATAAATGCAAGGGAGAAACGCTTCCATTTTTAGCATATTGTTGTTGTATAATGTACTCTAAGACAGTATAACAATGTTTACCATTTTTACAAATGGCAACATATCAACAAGCTCCCTGATGGCAAATGTTATTCATTAGATACCATATTTTCCGGAAATTAAGTCAGGGGTCATAATTGCATTTCTGTAAAAAGTGCTCTTGGTGTATAAGTTGTATCTTATAATTTAATCCTGAAATAATATAAAATAGGCTACTGTTAGCACTAAATAAAATAAGAAGTGTATGTATATTTCGGTTAATTGCACAACAAATGCTTTAAATTTACCAGTATTCAGAAGAGAAGATGAAACAAAAAATATAAGCAGCCTATAAAACAACAAAAAAAAAATATATATATAGAGCCGTTCACTTTAATCAACATTTAATAGAAACATCAAGCCTAAGCAAATGTATTTAAATTGAAACAGAAACTAGCGGCATATAGGAATTGTGCTGTACAAATATTGATGTGTCTCTTTCATCCAGCGCAAATCTAAATATCTGCATGACTTGTGCATGCTCTGGTTACTTGCTTTATAACTGACTTTTAAATTCCAGGAAAATATGGTAGTGAGATTTTGACCCCATTCACATAATCTCTGCACTTCATCGACAGTATTTTTCTGCAAACGATTGTATCAAGATACTGTTTGTGAATGCTCTGAAATAAATAAATAAATCCATCACGTTTGATGAGCTCTGTATCATCATCCTGGAATGTGCTGTTATTTTGGGGTCGATGTTCATTACCTAAGGCAGATTAACTTTTAAAGTATTAGCGACCCTGATGATTAGTAAACAAACCGAGAGCACTAGAGAAAGTGTAAACAATTTGAACCTGAATGGCAGTGAAAAGACCAAATGTTGTCGTTTTGTGATTTGTGTTTCTTTCTGTAGAAAGGAGCGAATATAATTCCGTCAAGGCAGTGAAAAGCCTTTCACCTGTTTGGCCAAAATCTCCCCTCACTCATCTGTGTTCAGAAACAGCTTTGTGCTGTTACTTCTTGAACATGTCCTGCAGAGGTCCGGGAAGGAATTTGAGAACGGTGTCCAAAATGCTCTCCTCGTCCTCCTCATCGTCTGCTCCGCATCCTGCAGGGATTGCCTTTTTGGGGCGAGTCAAGGAGCCTTCACATGCTTGCTCCATAGCCGCTTTCTCCTCTGCTTCCTTCTCTTCTTTCTTCTTTAGCCCATACTATGTAAATATAAATATAAATATATTTAGACTACAGAAGAATGTTTTATAGAATAATTTTTCATTTTTGTACAGTAGAGTACAGTAAAATTTTGTATTGGTCACCCTGAACAGAATTAAGTTTCCACTGCCAATAGTACCTACTGCAGGGGCATAGACTTAACAAGGATGCATCCCCACTAATATCCACCAACTATTAAAATGTCGCCACCAATAATTTTATTCACTACAAATTGCGCAGTCAATATTAACCTAGACGTTCAGAAAGGGTTAAATCACTTTCTCCTCTCCAGTCGCACCGCCCCCCAAACACATATGAACATTGTGATTGACTGAGCCTTTTCCTGCTGTCATGTGAGAGGCTGTAGCTGCGTTCAGATGTAACAGCAACAAAACTGTGAAGGGGAATTCCCCATGCAAGAGTAAGGTGTGAGAGGTGTGTGTGACACAAGATGTTCACTATAAACAGAAGTCTTTATTAAACTCTCTATCAGTTTATAAACATTCCTTTAATATTACACTATTTAATTTAATACATTGTATAAAGAGAGGATTAATTAAGAATACATTTTAATAGCATTAATATTATATAATTATTAGGCTGCAGTTGTATAATTAATGGCAGCATATAGGGGGTTGTTGGATTTACCCATCACCCCTAATGTCAAGAGCAATCCTATGCCCTTGACCTACTGTACTGTACGGTATATCACAACGTTTCAACACCATGTCTTTCTTGTTTGCTGGAAGAAACCCATACTTGTCGTTCATATGACTTATTTACCACACTAAAGATTATTATTTAAATTGTAGATGAGTAGCAATAGCACACAATTAGATCATAGAATGTCATGTTTTTGCTGTTTATGTATTACTGTGTTGTCGTCCTCCTGGCTTTTTGTATGTGCAAGTGGCAATTTGTAAACCAATAGCATGCAATAGTGAGTCTTGCTCTACATTTTTGGCACTCAAAATAAAAATAAATGCATACAATACTTTACTGAACCAAATTGTACTGTCTAAGGGACAAATGTGAATAATGGTGCATGTAATAAAATTCTGATGTAACGAACATTAACTCACAAAACGAACAATAGTCTGTTTTTGTGTACAGTTGAAGTCAGATTTATTAGCCCCCTTTGATTTTTTTTTTCTTTTTCAAATATTTCCTAAATGGTGTTTAACAGAGCAAGGACATTTTAGTATGTCTGACAATATTTTTTTTTCTTCTGGAGAAAGTCTCATTTGTTTTATTTCAGCTAGAATAAAGGCAGTTTTTAATTTTTTTAAAAAGCATTTTAAATTATTAGCCCCTCTAAGCTATATATATATATTTTTCCCCGATAATCTACAGAACAAACCCTCATTATAAAATAACTTGCCTAATTACCTGAACCTGCCTAGTTTAAGTAAATAACCTAGTTAGGCCTTTAAATCTCATTAAAACCTGTATAGAAGTGTCTTGAAAAATATCTAGTGAAATATCATTTACTGTTATAATGGCAATGATAAAATAAATCTGTTATTATAAATAAGTTATTAAAACTATTAGGCTTAGAAATGTGCTAAAAAAATCGTCTCTTAATTAAACAAAAGTTGGGGGAAAAATTAAACAGGGGGGGCTGAAAATTCAGGGGGGCTAATAATTGAAATCTGATCTGCGAGAAGTAGGATACTTATAAAATGTCCAGTTCTCCATTCATCACTAAATGTAGTCCAGTTTCCATTATACTTGTCTTCAGGTATTTACAGTTAGTTAGTTAGTAGGTGACCAATACCAATGCCAACCACTCAAAATCCACCTAATTCTCATTTGGGATGATGTGTGATCCTGTAATGACCTGAAACTCCAGGATAACACTAACATTATTCTCGTCCTTTAAGAAGAAGCTGTTAAATTAGCTGTAATTAACTGACATTAAGACCTCCTGCAAATGTGACATTTCATTAAAGGCTAATGGAGATTCATATTTGATGCATTCTCCTCACACACACATTAATCATTAAGTCATGCCATCAAGGTATAATAGCTTTATCCTGCGTAAGTTTGAAACTTATTAGTGTAAGCACATAAGGTCATGTTCTAATAATTCTGATCTCAGTGTAAAAAAACTAATGTAGACTTCAGCTGTTTGTTTAATATCAAAATATTTCAATTATTTACTTGATATTTCTTTGAAATGGTTACATTTATTAACAATGGAAACTGTTCCAAAGTAAAGGTGTTTGGTATATTTACAAATTTAAAGTGTTTCGTACACTGAAAAAAATTATGTCTGCTAAATTTTTACAAACAATGTATGTGTTGAATTTAAACTAAATTACAATTATTAATGTTCAACTTAATTTATTTGTTAATAAATGTGAATTCAGCCCACATAAATTGTTTACAATCACTACATGTGAGTTACATGTTACATGAGAGTTACATGTGAATAAGTTTTTATATATCAAAATTCAAATCAATGTTGCTTGATGTTTTTTTGAAACTGAAATTTATTAGTAATTTCTAACTGAAAACCATACCAAAGTAAATCCTACTATAATATAAAAAGTAAAGGTTATTTTTCCATACTTCATTACTTTTAGATGTAATGTTCATTCATTCATTCATTTTCTTGTCGGCTTAGTCCCTTTATTAATCCGGGGTAACCACAGCGGAATGAACCACCATCTTATCCAGCACATTTTTACGCAGAGGATGCCCTTCCAGCCGCAACCCATCTCTGGGAAACATCCACACACACATTCACACTTGGTGCTGGTTCGAGCCTCGGCTAGGTCAGTAGGCATTTCTTTGTGGAGTTTGCATGTTCTCCCTGTGTTGGCGTGGGTTTCCTCCGGGTGCTCCGGTTTCCCCCAAAGACCTGTGGTATAGGTAGGCTAAAATGTCTGTAGTGTATGTGGGTGAATGAGTGTGTGTGGATGTTTCCCAGTGATGGTTTGCAGCTGGAAGGGCATCCATTGCGTAAAACATGTGCTGGATAAGTTGGCGGTTCATTCTGCTGTGGTGACCCCATATTAATAAAGGGACTAAGCCGAAAAGAAAGTGAATGAATGAAGGAAAAAAAAATAAGATGTGTAATAAACACAATTGACACATAAATAAACAATGAATTCACATTAAAGTAATATCATTAAATTATCTTAAATTATTAGGCACGAAGAGAAATCTTAAAGACATTTTAACCCAATGGTCTCTCATTCAATTCATCGGAGGGCCACAGCTCTGCACAGTTTAACTCCAACCACCTCCAACTCACACCTGCCTAATAGTCTCCAGTCTTGAACATTTGTTTGATTAGGGTTGGAGCTGATTTGGAACTGAGCAGCGGCCCTCCAGGAATCGAGTTTGAGACCTAGTTTAACCCAAACTTTAAAAAAAAGAAACAAGACCTCACTTATTACAATCACAAGCTGAAAAGTCATTTAAAAAAAAGATAAAGAAATCTCTTACCTTATCTCGAATTGTTTGTCTGACCTTTTCCCTCTCTGCCTCCATTCGGGCATGTTTGGCCTTGCGCTCTTCCTCTTGTTGTCTCAGAGCCTCCTGTCTCTCCTCCTCCTTCTTCTGGGCATCAGGGTCCTTCTCCTCCTCTCCACCCAACATCTTTCCCATGTCTTTGGTGGCCCCTGTGTATTTAATAATACAAAAGACATGAACATCATCATGCAGTGACTGATTACTTACACAAAACCTTGTTTTTTATGTGCATATTAATCTCTGCACTATTTTGAAATCTGTATCTTTTTTTGTTGTTTGTTTGCTTTGTTTTATTTGTTTTAATATAGAAAATACTGTATAAGGATGTTCAGATTGGAACAAAAAAACTTTTTGATTATTAAAGAATTATTTTTCAAATTAATTATTTAAAGTGTTAACATGTAAAATGTACTTTTAAATATGTCTAGCAATGTCTATAATATTTAGACATTGCTAGACATATTTAAAAGTACATTTTACATGTTAACACTTGTTTAATAATGTCTCAGAGAGAAATATTTAGTTTTCCTTTTCAAGTTCAAATAAAATGTGGGACATTGAACTTTCCATTCATCAATCAAATATTTAATATGTTCCAAAGGTCAGTGTCAGTCTAGTGTTTTCGCTGTGTTACATGTCTGGTTTGTCAGTGTTCTGTTGTGTCATGTGATGTTATTTTTTGCCGTGTTTCCATGTGTTTGTGTTGATGTCATGTGATACTTTTGTTCTGTTTTCCTGCCGTTTGTTAATGTGTATGAGTTCCACCTGTGTCTCTTCTCTGTTTGTATTTAGTTCAGTTATGTCTTGTGTATTTATACCCGTGTTCAGTTTAGATTTTGTCTGGTATTATATTGCCACATTCTGTCCATTGGTTGATGGGGATTGGTCCAGTTGTGAGTGTTAATATTGTAGATAAATACATGTTTTCTAACTCCTGCGATCTGTGTGGTTGTGGAGTGAGCAATCTGTGACACTACCACTATTCAGTCGTCAGTTTTCAATTACACATAAAATGTTACTTTTTAAATTAATTGAATAAATATATCAAGGTTTCATTAGAAAATATAAAGCAACATGACTCTTTTCAAGGTGAGGCAGTGGCGCAGTAGGTAGTGCTGTCGCCTCTCAACAAGATGGTCGCTGGGTTGCTGGTTCGAACCTCGGCTCAGTCTGCATTTCTGTGTGGCGTTTGCTTGTTCTCCCTGCCTTCGCGTGGGTTTCCTCCGGGTGCTCCGGTTTCCCCCACAGTCCAAAGACATGTGGTACAGGTGAATTGGGTAGGCTAAATTGTCTGTAGTGTATGAGTCTGTGTGTGTGGATGTTTCCCAGAGATGGGTTGCGGCTGGAAGGGCATGCGCTGCGTAGAAACTTGCTGGATAAGTTGGTGGTTTATTCCGCTGTGGCAACCCCGCATTAATAAAGGGACTAAGCCGATGGGAAAATGAATGACTGTTTTCAGCTTCTTCAATGGCTTGTTCCAATAAAGAAACGTGTGACACCGAAGACTGCATTAAGAAACTCAGTTTTGCCTTCATAAGACCTTTTAAACTGGACTAGTATTGGCAGTGCTATTTATTTAAACAAAACTACAGTAAATTATGTTCTTTTTCACAATCCTTATCTTGATTTCCATTGTACAATCTCCTAATATGATGATATACTAGAGCCAAACTGAAGGCAAAGAGAGACACCAGTATGATGCATGTGCTGCTCCTCTCACTGCCATCTGTTTAAATGCTGAAACTCAACCGTTCACGCTGGGTATTCCGCACCACGCTTTAGTTTCAGCAAACAACAGCCGCAGGTAGTTGTGGGTAGTGCAGCAGTAAATGCTTTTAAGCAATGCCCATGTTTGCCTCCACAGTACATCCATGTTCACTTCTTACATCAAGTACATCAAGTCCCCAAGAAATCAAAACTAACCATAAGATTTGGTTAGCTCACGTTTTGTGGTGAACAATTCATCTGTGCATGCCATTCAGAAAGAAATGCCTTTCTAATCTTTAATTGAATCCTTTTTTCAGTTAATTTGTCAGATTGCATATATCTTTCATATATAATCTCATTTAATATTCCATTTTTCTAGGAACTGCGTCACAATGCTAAAAAAATAAAGGTTGCATCTTCCAGCTCATGAGGACTTTAAACCACATGTTTAAAGGTGAGGCATCACACGAAAATCAAACAATTTTGAGATTTTAACTTTTCATAATGTGGCCAAAGAAATTACAAGAATTGTGTTGTTTCAGCTCATTTTAAACAGGTAGTTTGAACAAGCAGCAGTAATCTTTTTTTTTTTTTAATGTAAGGAAGGTGTAACTATTAGGTTATTATTATTATTGTTTGCCTGCAAAAATCCCTCAGATGCTGAAAAATTAGGTTGCAAGTGCTGCACTGTTGCTGTAAGTCATTGATCATTTGCATAATGGCAGCGCACAGTCTGTCTACAAGCAACTGTACACTCATTTATTATTAATAGCTGTCGTTTATTATGCATGAGTGTGCATTTAAAATCTAGCATCGAGGTCTATGCTTCACATTCACGTGTTTAATTGCTTCCCTCAGACACTCAGGATGTTGTAGGGGAAAGGAGTGACAGTGGACTCTTTAAGTGGCCTTTAAGTGTCTGCATAGACAACTTGTGCTGACATTACACTGCTCGTGTTGTCTCAGGCAGCAGTTAAATGAAGGACCGCAAAAAAACGTTTCAAGCAATTCGCTTTCTGTGGGCACTGGCCATTTTATACCCACATTAAACCTCTTAAACCTTACTGATCGATAATTAACGAACTGAATTGTTTTCATTCCATTCATTGTGTTGTGACTGGCTGTTTATGTTGTGCCCTTGAATTACTTTCATTATTCATTAAAGCTTAATATTAGTTGTGTTTGTTTCACATCTGTTAGACAAACTGCACATGGGTTCAGTATGGAGATTATGAACATTTCACAGCATTTTCAGTGTCTAAAATCATCACAGATACCAGTATAATCATGTTTTTGTTACAATAACCTATAGTCAAAACAACTATCACACAATCTTAAGGCATTCCACCAACTTTTGTATCTGAAAATGAACAAACAATGAATAAAACATTTTTTCAGTTCACAGTTTTAATGGTAAAGGAAAAATTTTAAATAATAATTCTAATCATTAAAAAATTTTACATGGTTCCCTTGAAAGTTTCCAGTATTCGTGACAATACTAGTTAATCATTAAACTCACTTTCTGTGGATAAAGTTACAATAATGTTAGTTAACTCTCATTGAGCAAGTGTTGTAGTTTTATTATTATTAAAAACGAATAAAGCTTAACTTTGTGGACTCTGGTTGTGTCGGTTTATAAAGAAGGTGTGTTAAGGGCATCGTTGGCTTGTTTTTTATATTGACCAACTAAAAGCTGGTCTAAAGTCCAGCGCAGAGTGCGTTAGTTATGCGCCTATGCAGGTTCAAACACTTGATTCACACAGGATGTACATTAATAGACAAATAACTTTACATATGAAAAAAAGGATTAAAATTTTACAAAAATTATGATTTACTGCATAAAAAATCATACCACGGCGACTGAAGCTCTGCACAAGACTTTTGGCCAGCGGAGAAATTAAAATGGTCGTGTCCAACTGAGTCTGGTTCTCTCAAGGTTTTTTTTCTTCACTCCCATCAGGTGAAGTTTTTTTTCCCTCTCCGCTGTCGCCACTGCCTCGCATGGTTCAGGATTGGTAGAGCTACGCATCGATGAATTTGCTCTTCAGTGTTTGAACTCTCAGTAATGATTAAATCACACTGAACTGAGCTAAACTGAACTGAACTGAACTTAAACACTAAAACCTGAACTACACTGTTCCAGTTACTATGACCATTTATGTGAAGCTGCTTTGACACAATCTACATTGTAAAAGCGCTATACAAATAAAGCTGAATTAAATTGAATAAAAAAAAAAAACTACCTCCCTGCCTCCATGTCCGGGTGGCTTTTTTCCCCCATTTATTCATGACAATTTGCATTTTTGTTATATTGTTATTATCAGTATCATTTTATATGTATATTTGTATGCATAAAAACAAGTTTAGATTTGTCCAATTGTCTGGTTATGGAGACATATGTGCATCACCATATGGAGCATAAGAATAGAAAATGTGTTTGGTTATAACTCAGTTTTCTGACCACATTTTGTTATTATTGTTCATTTATTCGTTTACTGGAAATTAGAACTGAATTTAGAAATAGTTTTGAAACAAATCTTTGCGCTTAACAAACAAAATTAAATATGTAGGCTGATGGATGTCTTCAGTGGAGTGTGTACAGTGCAGTTTTGTTATCCACGAAAGTAAAGAGTAAAAGTAAAGAGCCTGAATGGAGGAGGCTCAATTTTTATACTTACGCAGATGGTCTGTTTAACTGTTTTCTTTCTAGTGGAGCATTGCATTTTCCATTCAGTTTTTCCAATTACAAAGTATGCCATGTAAATAGCAAATGTGCCATAGTGCAACACAACTGACTCCTAAAAGGAATGTTAGATGAGGATCTGATTGGTTTAATGCACATTATGCTGAAAACTCAACAATAACACATTAAGGAGATTAAGCACAACCCTATTAGACCATGGGCCATGGTGCAAATCAAATTTTTCTATCCTTAAAATAGCAAAAGTGAATTCAGACATACCCTTAATGCTTTTTTTGCCATGCGCTTTAGACTTTGCACCTAGGGTGTTAAAACAGACCCCTTAGTATTTTTTTTTTGTTTGTTTGTTTATTAGTTTTGTTCCATACAGTTGAAGTCAGATAATTGTTAGCCTAAACATACTAGTTTTAATAACTCATTTTTAATAACTGATTTATTTTAATGTAAATAATATTAAGTAAAAAGTAAATAATATTTTACTAGATATTTTTAACACACTTCTATACAGCTTAAAGTGACATTTAAAGGCTTAACTAGATTCATTAGGTTAACAAGGCAGGTTAGGGTAATTAAGCGAGTCATTGCATAACAATGGTTCTGTAGACAACTTAAAAAAATAACTTAAAGGGGCTAATAGTTTTGACCTTAAAGTAGTGTATAAAAAATTAAAAACTGCTTTTAATCAAGCTAAAATAAAATAATTAAGGCTTTCTCAGAAAGGAAAAATATTATCGGACTTAC